AATATGATTCTCAACAAGGATGATTTAAAGGATGATTTGATAAATCACTATGGTTAGTGACCTTAATTTCCACTATAGCTGGGCCCCTACTTATTTTGCTTCTTATCTTTACATTCGGCCCCTGCATTTTAAATCGCCTGGTGCAATTTATAAAAGACAGGCTTTCAGTTATCCAAACCATGGTACTCTCCCAGCAATATTAGATATTAAAGCAGAATGATGTAGAGGTTTTCAAACACATGGATTTATGATTAAATCCATGAGAAAAGAAAAGGGGGGAATGAAAGACCCCCCAGGACTGCCCCCCCCCCAGAGAACCTGCAGCTGGCCTGCTCCCATGAGAACATCTTGTTTGCTATCAGGAGACACTGTTTGCTGTCAGAGACACTGTCAATGAAATCTTTTGAAAATGCACTTTGACTTTAGGAACTTTAATTTTTTCAGATTTAAATTTTTACTTTAAACAATTACTTAAATTCTTAACACAGCTTCATTCTGTGTAAAATGGAGATAACAGTGTCTAAACTCTTAGGACCATGGTTGATTAAAAAAGATTATGCACAGGAGGCTGTGTTATGGTGGCCACATGGCTAGAGGCTGTTCCTGAGACTCAAGCTTTTCCTTTACTCTATGGTTCCTTGGGACAGAATCGTGCTGCGCTTTACAGAGAACCAGAACCAGGAGGTAGCTAGGAGGAGACCAAATTAGGTACTTCTTAGCAACTCTAGGATTCTTTTGTGCTTCACATAGTCCCTAGAGGTATTTGAATTCACAGATGGACAAAACAATACCCAAAGTATAGAGTCAGCAAATAAGGTAAGTAGATACCCTCTAAGGAAGGCAGGGAAAAAGGAAACCCAAACTACAAGGGATGAAACTCTATCACTCTGTCTTAGGAGATTTGCAGGCCTAGCTCAGAAGCAACCTAGGCACAATCATCAGGACTTGAAAAGAATGGGGAATGACTAAGAGCTCAGATGTACTCCAGAAGGTGGGACAACCCTCTTTGCCGGTCAACTTCAAATTAAAAACCTCTGAGTGACAGAGACATAGTTGAAGTGGTTTCGTCTTCTGCTTAGAGAGCGTCACATAGAAGTGTGTCCAAAGAGTAGTGCTGGTAGAAGGGATGCCCATAGGCGCTATTCCTGAGGAAGGTTTTAAAACCCAGTTCCTGGGAGACAGATTACACAAAGGTCAGGAACTGAAATCACTTAAAAGGTTGAGAAATGAAAGGCCTGTTCACTCTGTGCAAGTCTTGATTACAAGCTCTGACATGAAGAAGAATCTTACAAAAAGAACAAGGAATCACCTGCTTGGGAAAAGATGGCCATATATTCTCATTGCCAGTCTCTCATCTTGAAAATGGGACCTTATCTCTCTGGTTTAAATGCAGTAAAGAAAGGCTACCAAGGACAATCCAGGCAAAGCATGTTTTTGGAGATTGGCGTTCTCAAATTCAAATGACAGCAGCTCTCAAAATCTGAATTTGGTGAACCTTCGTCCTTACACTCAATGCTAACCCTAGACAGATAAGGAGCTGTCCAGTGTCTAGGGAAGATCTTCCAGCATTTCAATGTGCATTTCCACTGGAGAGGAAACAAAGGTGAGGAATGCCAGCCTGGTTGTTATTTAATTTCAACATAAAGCCTCATTCAGAGTCTAGTCTTGGTTTTCTTGTAGTCTAGAAACAAAGCCCTTGAGGTAGCAAAGGCTATTTTAAGTACAGAGCTTTACAGGATGGGACATAATTTGGTGGTAGCACCTGGATAACATATATGGGCCCATTCTCATGATCACGTGAAACCAAAACAAAAGGACACGTGTATTCCCAGTACTCAAGAGCCTGGAGGAGTCTGAGTTTGAGGTCAGCTTGTGTTATGCAAAACAAGATCTTGCTTCAAAAAAAAGGGGTGGAGGTCAGGTGGTGGTAGTGCACTCCTTTAATCCTAGTAGAGGAAAAGGCAGGAAGATCTCTGTGAGTTCAAGGCCAGTCTGGTCTACAGAGCAAGTTCTAGGACAGCCAGGGCTATACAGATAAAGAAAGAAAGAAAAAGAAAAAAAGTGTAGAATAACCTTTAAGAGTCATTTCTAATACCCACATGACCACTTATAATTTTTTGACAACAAACCATGTTGTCAACAAGAAAAAAATAAGGAGCATATCTACTTTTTCTTGTGGTTAAGGAGCCTTCCAGAAAATTTTACCTTGTAAATAGTTTCTTAACAAGTATGGGCTATTTACCGTTGCTTAGAGATGGAAAGGGTATAGAAAACAACATATATTGAGGTCATATAATTTCAAACAATTATACCTTATTATCTAATAAACTTAAGACTTTCAATCGAGATAACATACAAATGTTTATTAGAATTAGCTAACTATAAAATTATCAGAAATCCTTTCAATCCTTGACATTGCTTATATTTTAAATTGCATTTACCTGCAATACCCTGTAGCACATCTGACTCAAAGTAGACCTGCAACTAACTCATATGTGTCTTGGAGATTTCCTTAAAATTGTGGGGGGAAATCAGGTCAAAGTTTCGCGGACTCTCATCTTGCAAAATGTCACGAGCCTTGATGCTTTAAAATGGGAATACCTACAATTTAATTTCCAGTTTAAAGTAATTATTCTCTTAGTCTTAGGATAACATAAAGAAACTCAAAATCTAACTTTTGAATACTTTATAATTGTTAACTTGTCTAAGAACATTATAATTAACAGAACTTCCATCAAAATTGTCCTACATTTTAAGGATTTATTCAACCTTTAAGATGATGTGACTGAGGGACTGGAGAGATGGCTCAGTGGTTAAGAGCACTAACTGCTCTTGTAGAGGACCCAGGTTCAATGCCTAGCACTCACATGGCCATTCCCAACTACAGCTCCAGGGCACTCAACACGCTTCCACAGGTAAAACACCAGTAAACATAAAAAAGATGGTATGAGTGTAGATAGTTCCAATATTGTTGGGAATTGAACCTAGGGCCTCACACATCCTAGGCCCAGTGCTCTACCTCTTAGCTCTAACATTTAAGGAACTAAGATGCTAAGTTTTTAGTTTGCTCTAGTGAGTCTAGCTCAGTATTTCTCCTTGAGTCTATAATAAAAAAGAAGGTATTCACAGTGCTTGAACACATATGAGATTTATAATTTTAAGATCATCCAAAGGCAGCTCGAAAACTAATTCTGTAACTCTTGTCCCTGGGTCACAAACACCCATTTACCAGGAGATAGGAATGGGGTTCTAAAATCATGTGTGGTTTCTTTTTACTTATTTTCTTTTCCTTAATGACCTCCATCTTTGATCAAAGAATTTAGGTATTTTAAATCTCTGATCGCTTTCCTCCCTACTGAAGCGCTCTGGTGCTGCACGATGGTGTCCTTTAAAACTGAGAAAAAACAAGTGATTTGCAGCAGAGATCTCTATGAGACCCGGCTGGCCTGGAACTCAGATCCTCCCAGATGCTGGAATTGAAGTGTGCACCACCAGAGTCCTGTAGCAGAAACCTCAATGGCAGGACAATTCAATTACCTTGTAACTTTTGGTAATTCCACACGGTCAGCTTAAATAGGTGGTTACTAAGAGATATTCAAATGGAAATGTATTTAGTTATGTATTAAGTGTAATCTCAGGCTTTCCAATGTCCTACATCTTTGAATGTCCCATTTCCCAGTTACATAGTGACCAACAGTACATGGCTGAGGTATGGAATAGTATTACTGCAACCATTAAATTGTAGATATGCATTGACATGGAAAACATACAACAGATTGACTACTTTTAACCCCTTGATGTTTCTAAGGTTTTTGAATGAGAAACACAGAAATTTAAGGAGGAGGAGGGCAGGTAGCAGATGGAGAAGCAGTGTGTAGTTCTGGAGGAAAATCCCTCAGAATAACTTAATTTCCAATATGTCACTCATGTTTACTTTCTAAATCCAATTATTCTAGTCTTTTCCTCTTTTGCTAAATACTTATTTTGCATAGAGGTTGTTGATAAAATCTGACAGAAGTGTGTAACTTCAGAATTTATGTTTAGCTTCTTCCTGCCCAGGCTGTGAAAATGGAAATAAAGTTTTCAATAAGGTGTGCTGGCCGCCTGATTGTTCATGCTGCAAACTATCCAAAGGGAGGAGGAAATCCCTTGTTACACAATGAGAAAGAGTTCCTGGAGCCTCTCTTCCCCAGTACTTATCAGTTTTGTTGACACTGGTTCTAACCAGTTAAACTAACCCTAGCACCAAAAAGCCTCTATTCTTATACACAGTCTATTCTTGCCCATCAATCTACATACTCTAAGCAGTCTCCGTCAAGACCCTACAATGCAGAGACTTGCTATGGTGGGGTTAAACTTCTGCAGACTGAGTAGAATTTAATTACTTTAAATCAACCTTAAAGATTCTTTTATTCTTTTTAACCAAATGACAAAAATCGACTCTAATTGGAAATGGTTTAATATTTTTGTCAACCATTTATGGTCTTTCAGAAGGTAGTTTTAATAAAAAAATTAAAACCTGTTCTTTCAGGCTGGGGAGATGACCAACTGGTGAAGGGCCGGGCTGTGCAAGAATGAAGACCCCATGTGAAAGCCATGAGCAGCAGTGTGTATTCACAATGCCAGTTCTGGGGGTGGAATTTGGCAGGCCCAGACAGGTGATCCCTGGAGCTCTATGGCCAGCCAGTCTACCAGAATCAGACCTCCAGGTCGAATAAGAGACCTGTTTTAGAAAGTAAGGTAGATAATGACAGAAGAGGCAAATGTAGACTAGAAATGACATATTTAATACCAGAAGCATGTGTGCATGCAAACACTGACTAACCGATGGTCTCTCCTCTCCTCTCTCTCTCACACACACTCTCTCTCTCATGACACTATAACCAAGAGCATAAGTTGAGAGAATGGGAAAATCTGGTAAGAAAATCATATTGTTAAGTAGTTCCCCTAGTGTAAGATTAAATGATAATAGTTATATAAAAAACACCAAGGAGAATACATTCAAGTTAATGGAAACAAGTCTTTATTAAGTAACTTTTAATATCAGAAAAATAAAACTCTTATAATTCTCTTTACAGCAAATATATAATATCAGTGCTTTGGCCATCTTAAGTTAAAGGCCCTTTATCATAAAATATATGGTTTTAAACTTTACTCAAATTGAATTTATAATCCCTATGACTTCCCTACATATACATAACAAAAGAGTGTAGTAAAATTAGCAAATACTAAACTATATTGATAATTTATCATTCTTAGTTTGTGGTTTTTAGAAACAGTACACGCACCTAATATATGTTGATTCCTTGGCTTATTAGTTGCAGTGTACGATGCAACAAAATACAAAACACATGCTTGGTGACATTCGTCCATATCTACAAGACGGCAGCTAGAGATTAGGTTTCAATACTGACAATTAACTATCCTACAAGCAATTAGCATTACATCATAATATGCCATCAAGGCAACTTTTTTATACTGAAAAATCAAAATAAAAACCGTTATTTGTAAACTTTATACGAAATGTAACTCTTCAAGTGGAAATAAAAAATAAAATTTGTCTATTTGCTATTGAATACACAGAAGATTTCAATTTTTGTTATACTGAGAAAAAAAGCTCTTTTGTGTTGGGAAAATAACGCTTCAAAAAAATAATTAGTAGAAAAACCCACCAGTATAATGTTTTGTCCTTTCAATGCCAGCAAAATTGGGGACATACTGAGGATGAAGTTAAAACATCCACAGGTGAAATGTACAAGTGTGTTTTAAAGAAACCTTTCTTTGTGATTGGAAATAGGTTTGAAATGAAGTAAACTGATTGGAGGTTGTCACAGCTGCTTTCATGAATTATGCCAAGGGCATTATTATCTCCCTCCCCATCCCCTACATTACTAAAAAATAAAAATATATTTATAATGTGCAAGACAAATATGGATTGAACATAAAATGTTTCACATTTTGATCTACAGTCTAAATATTAATAGCTTGATCAGACTAATGAATGGAATGTTCTCATTCTCAAAATTTTCAGCCAATATAGGTGCATCCCAAAGCCCATCCTGAAATGGGAAAATGCAGGTGACTCTTTCCACATTCACCAAAGGAGGCAATGGGTAGGAATTTACAATCCATGACAACTGTATTCCTGATCCACTGAACACACCAGCCTTGAGCACTCTGGGCGAGATGAAAGTCAGTGTAGCAGTTTTTGTCCCAAATTATAACCAGTGATCTAGTAAACTGCCATCAGCCCTATTATTACTAATAAGTGATCACAATGCTTTAAAAAGTTACTTGCAATCCTGCAGAATTAGGCAGAAGTTGTTGTAAAATAAAAAACAAACCTGTTTTGTCAAAACTGGCAGTGTAAAGAAGGCAGCACTGGAAGTGTCAGTCATCTGTAATGCCAGGCACCCTCCATAAACTCTTAACGTGGCTAGGCTTTGGGATCCACTGCTACAGTCTCCTAGGTTACACAGCCAAGTAGAACTTCAGCTTTAAAAACTCTTATACAAGCTATGTCTCTGAGTCTACAAGATAGCATTAATAATTCAAACCAAACTAATAGACAAGAGACCACTCAGGTTTAGTGTTACCATAGCAGCCTTTTATAAGTGTACTAACAACTTTAGCCTAATCCCAATAAAGCCTGATAACAGTCATAAGAATTCATTAGGAAGTTTACTCGGGGTACCATGATACCCATGCCTTTATGAGTCCATATAGAGATATAGTATTTATGTATATATATATAGTTAAGAGTGAATTTGGATTGCCTGAGTAACAGCTGTCTGGCAAACTGGACATGATGGCGTTCTCTTTTCACAGATCTTGTTGGCACATTCCATGCAGAAGAGGTTGTGGCCACATGGAACTAGGGCAGCAATAACTTCATTCTCAAAGCAAATTACACAGTCGTGCTTTCTTCTTGATTCTGGAGGTGAGCTAGAGGTGGAACCACCATTGGAAGAGGAGTAACTATTGGTACCATTAGAAAAAGCAGGGATGTATATTGGAAGGCCAACATGGTTGCCTGTACTAGGTGGGTCGCTCCTAACCCTCCGAGCAAGTGGGTGTTCTATGCTCTCAGGAAATGTAGGAGACAGACGAGGAGTTGATGGCTGACTTCCTCTTCGCTGAGTCTTCATGTTACCAGAAGGATCACTCCCAAAGCCAGAGAGTGGGTTAACTGGTTCAAATGGAGTCCAGATAGTTTGAGCAGATGTTGGTAAAGAGTCAAAGGCAGGAGAGTCTACTGCAAGATCTTCTGAGCCTACAGACGGTAGTGTATCTCCAAACCAAAAGTTTCCTGTGCTAAATGGGCTCGTTGGACTAAAGTCAGCCAGCCTATTGCTTCCAAAATAGGAATCAGTGGAACCACTTCCTAGAGAACTAGAACTATCATTTCGATAGTTGGACATCATTCTTGCACGGCTAGGAGGAACTGGATTGGAAGAGAGCCATGCAGAGCCAAGAGTGCCACCTTCAAAGCTCACGTCGGTACCGTTATAATGGAAATCATTTTCTTCATTGAGTTCTATGTAGTTTCCTGTACGCATGGCAATATGCATTTCTATTTCTTCCCGTGCTCGATCAACATTTTCGGGCATCCCTGTCACTTCAAAGACCGGCTCCTTATCTCTGCTTGGAGTTACTATGTATGTGTGGGTCTGTTGCTGAATTCTCTTAATTGTTGCTCCTTTTGGTCCAACTACTAGCCCTACCACACGATAGGGGACCCTGACTTGGACCGTAGTTTGACCAGGCAGATTAGGACTACAGGATAACCCTCCCAGCGCAGGGCCATTTTTGTTTCGAGATGCACGAATCATAGAGAAGTGTTCTGCAGCCGAGAGGATTTCTCTTTTGGCCATGGCAACATCTTCTTTCCGTCCAGTGACAACAAAAATGGGCTCTTCACCACGAACAGGTGTCTTGATATACGTGTTTGTCTTGGCTCTCAGTGCTTTAATTTTACAACCTGTTAAAAGAAAATATTCCAGAATCAGCATCTACTTTAAAAGTAACTGTAAAGGCAAACCATGAAATATTCTTTTCAAATTAAATGCCTATTAGTGTATAGTTCTTAAAAATTTCTTCTTTATTATAAAGCTAACTATACCATCAGAAAGATTGAGTTCTATAAAACTAATGATTTTCTATTTTGCAAAGATGTTGGCGGCAAGAAAAATATTAATGTAATTGAGATGGTTAACATTGTCTTGTAAGTGGGTTCCAAAAAATTATAAAGTTTTTTGTTTTATTTAACCCACTTAGAACTCTTTAGGTCTGGACTATTACCTCATTTTACTAAGAAAACAAAACTGAAGCTCAGGAAAATTATATAACTTGTTTATGTTCACACATCAGTGGCAAAGCCAGAGCTAAGCTATGTGTGATGTAGAAATCTTTGGCATTTTCATTATTTCAAGAATTTTAATTTTCAAATACTCTGTGACTTTCACTTGATTATTTTATTGCTTTAACACGACATCTTTATAAAATTCTATTGAAAACAATATTTATGGCTAGTGGCTATCTTTCTTCAGGTCCCAGTTAAATTCTATGCTTATTAGTTATTGCCGTCTAGTTTATGACAGTTGTACTCAAGCAAATAAAGTTTGTAAATTAAAAACTAATCTAAACATTTAAAAAATTTAATGAGGAGGAGTGACATGGGGAAAAAAGCTGCTTTTTATTTTATTTTTTAATATACTGGGGAGACAACCATAAAGATGCAGTACTGAAAAAGTAATGCAGAATGATTTTGTGCCTGCTGTAAAGTTCTTGATCCATTTAGAGAAACAAATATTGAAGACTCATGGAAAATGGCTGGAGGAACACCAGTTCCAAACCCAAACTAAAAGCTTTGGTCCCAAGCTCCAAGTGTACCTAAGTTAAAATAAAACACGGAAGACACATTTTTCTTAACTTTAAATCAATTGTTTCTGAGTGACCACAGAATTACAGTGCCAAGTATACAGGTTACACAAGTCTCCAAAACTGTCAATATACAACTATGGCTTAAATCTCTGGAGTTAGTTTTCCACGAAATTAATAAACATATTCCTAGAATAAATTTATTCTCACCATACAATTATTTCCTCAAAAAAAGTAAAGGTGGTGCTATTGAAGACAGAAGCCACAATTTGGGCAGGCTTTTTTCTTTTCCTCTCTTGTCCCTGACAAGTCATTATTGAGTAAAACTATGACTTTATAATTAGATATATAATATTGAGCCCACATGCCTGCAATATATATCTACAACCCCAAATGTCTCCAATCTTACCTTAAACCAGTTATTTCTATTTTCTCTAATATGATGTTTTCTCAATACAGCATGGATTATATGGTCACTTCTTTGCACAGCATATTTTACTGTTTCCTGATAAACTGAAGTCCAAACAATATGGTACACAAAGCACCTATGCTTCAGTTGGTTCGTGACTTGTTAACACCATTCTTCTTACACTTATCCCTCTCTACTCTTTTAAGCTCTAGAGTATATTTCAACCTTCATGCTTCCATGTTTCTGTGACTAAAATCTTCCCTCTTTGCTTCTTTAGTCCTAGCTCTGCACTGTTCAACTTCTACTAACCATCTGGTTTTGGTTTAGGTACCTTGTCCTCAATGATGTTCCTTCTCTCCTATGGATCTGCCTTCTAAATTACCAGAACACCGGGAAATTGAATATCCATATATACTACTGGGTGCCATGTAGTATTTGTGGAAAGGAAGGTTGCTAATTTTCTGCATTAGTACACTAGGCCTTTCTTAATGTTATTTTGGACCCCAATGTTCCCTTTAATTCCTGGCTTTCAAGATTTTCACTTCTGGTCCCATATTGCTTGCTAATCTCATCCATACTGAAAAGAGAGTCCATACAAATTAAATTACAACATATTTAAAACATCTTAACCTACTATGGAACTTCTGAATCCTAAGCACAACTTAAGGTCCTGTTCTTCCTTCTAACAACGGTAGAGCTTACAAAGAAATGGCTGCCTTTTCACTCTGGGTCCTACAGGTACATTACCATGAAAACCCAGACTCAAGTTCTCTGAAAGCATCATTTAGTACAGTAGGGCTAAGAGGAAGAGATAGTTTGGTGGGACCTATCAAGAACTCACAAGTAAAACATATTACTGTGAAACATGAAAACTTTTCTAAGTGCTAATGGTAAGACTATATCTATGATCAATTATTATTAATCATATTAAAACCAAATGGGTGATGGTTACTTTGGAGTGAAAGATGGGTTAGATCTGTTTTTATTGTATAGTAAAATGAACCAGATGATCATTAGCAAATCTTGTCTCTACACAGTCAAATCTTCCTTATAGTAGGTGCTGCTTGGGACTGAGAATCGAGATCATATCCCTTGAACAACATGCTACCACAGAGATGCCTAAGAAAAATTTGAAAGGCAAAATACTAGCTGGCCATACTCTATACTCAGAGTACAATTCAGTTAAATGAGTTTACACTCCGGGCTACAACTTAATCAGCAGGCAACCTCCTAAAATCTCATTCCTAGGCTGCAGACATGGCTTAGTGGGTAAGAGTCCTTTGCTGCACAAGCATGAAGACCCAAGTTCAAATCCCAGTGTCATGTGAAAAGTCACCACAGGTGCTAATTGAGGGTGGCAACAGGAGGATATCTGCAGTTTGTTGGTTATGAGCCTAGCTCCAGGTTCAGTAAAGAGATTGTCTCAAGGAATAAGGTTACCGAACACACGAATATATAATTGTTAGAAATATTTCCTAAAGGCAAGCTCCCTGTCAACACAAAATTCCCAATCAAGCCAAACCAAACCAAACCAAATTAAGAAATATCCAGGTTTAATGGGAGTTCTGCACTCTCCCGTGGCCCCGAGGGGGTGAACCACCAGGAGGAAGAAAGGGAGACCATGTGTTCCTCTTTTGGGAGCTCATTTAAATACTCTGGGGAGGGGTCAGGACCTGGCCTGCTGGGATTTGGAGTCCAGACCAGGCCTGGGGGTTGGAATAGATGCGAAGGACTGGGGCATACGCTCCCAACTTGACAATAATACACACATTGAAAAGTAAAACCTTGTTCCCAGTAACAGGCAGTCCTGGTTCATCCTGCAGAAAAACATGGGCAATTTCTATTAAATACACGTATTTTTAGAATATAAGTTTGTCTCCTTTTGATTTTTTCTAATATCAACCTGAAAATTAAGACGTTTCTAATTAACTACTGCTGAGAGCTGGGGGGGGGGGGCTAGCTTAGTGGTTCAGTGCTTGCCCAGCATGCAAGAGACCTTAGGTTCAATCCTTAGCTCTGCACAGCACACCCCAACAACAAAAAGAAAAAAAAAAGAAGAAACAAAACCCAAAAAACCCAAACCCCAATGACACAGTAATTTAAGTAACTATCAGTTCTAGCTTACAGGTACATAGAACACTTATTTGATCTATGGCTGGTACTAAAAAACAGGTGTTTAATGTGTAGTCAGTGGAAAAAATGGAATATTTTAGCTTCGAATCTCTTCTGAGATAGAAAGGCCATTGTCCCACAAAAGGTAATGTACAAAGAGTAATGTACTTGGGTTTTGCAGAGCAAGAGGAAATCAAACAAACAAAGGGAGTAAGACCAAGCCCTTTTAAGGTACCAACAATAAACACAGAAGCAAGCACTTCTCTCCCTAAATTTGTGGCAGTTCAACAAAGACTGCAGGAACCCTCACTCATCACAACATGGCTTCTACGGCATAAAGATGCTGAATTACAAACAACATCATTTCTACAATCATACCGTGAAGGTGGGGACTACTTGAATAGGTATTTTCAAAAAGTGACATTAACTTAAGGAGATGAAACCAATTAATTTAAAAACTTTTTGAGTATTTAATCTTGAATTTCTGTTTGAAAACTGAGATACTTTAAAGAAATCATGGAGGAACCCTGCTATGCAGACCAGGATGGCCCTGAACTCAGAGATCCATCTGCCTGCCTCTGCCACTCCAAATGCTGGGATTAAATGTGTATGGCACCATCGCCTGGCTAGATGAAATTCTCATTTCTGCAGTAACTAAGCTAATTTTTCCACTTACAGATGCCAATGGCAACATTATAATACTGGTAGTACATGTGGGATGAGGAGACCGTATTTAGTTGGTCACGGTGGACAATTTACAGAGGGCAGTTTGTATATCAGATGATCTTGTGCCCCTATATGCCCACTGGCAAAGACGATCCTACAGTAATACTGGTGCAAGTGCAAATGCTCTCAGTATTTTATTACTTATTGTTTGTATAAGCATGAGGCCAGGACTGCTGTAGAATAGAATATAACGTATTCATAAAATTGGTTGACTTGGAGGAACAGGGTAAGAGAGACTTCACTGTATATTCAAATCAAATAAATATGATTAGAACACATGAATAATATTTTACTACTTTTAGCTAGCATTGCATTGCTGTGATTATTTTAAGTTACATCAGCAGGATAAATGATATCACAATCTCAAAGTCAAACTCAGTTTTGCAACTCTTAAATGCACCAACTACTACTTGTTTTCTTATAGCTATAGATAAAACTAGCATGTATCAAAGTTTTATTGAAGGTAGTTTACAGGGTGGAAACTTGGACCAGAAGTTTATGGGTCAACAATTAGAGTACTAACAAATTTCAGAGCTGTAATTTCAACTTAATTTGAAGTAAATTCCCTGCAATAAAGTCTTTAGTTTACCTTGTTAGCACATGAACCCTTTCCCCCTTTCTATCATTGTTGTGAGGGCGGTTTCAGGCTAAAACCCTCCAACCTCAGCCACAACTTGTCTCCTCCCTGTCACAGCAAAACATTCTACACTCTATCTCACACTTCTCAAGGTTAAGAGATTTCTACTAAAGAAAGGGCAGCTCTCTGTTGGTGGGATTGGAGTTGGAAGGAAGAGGAGGAAACTCAGTTTTCAAACTGTGAGTTGCATTATCATTTTGTTGTGTTGTAGGGAGCA